AGTCCTCACCAGATGAACATTCAAGTAATTTTTACATGCGTAGATTGTCCTCAATCAAATGGACTAAATGAAAGACTAAATCAAACACTGGTTAATAGAATAAGATGTAAAATAAACAGTGGAACAAAACAGGCATGGTCTACCATTGCAGATGAATGCGTCAAAGAATACAATCGTACAATCCATAGTTCTACAAAATTCGAACCAGAATACTTATTGTATGGCACAAGGTCAGCTATCATCCCAGATGACCTACCAGAAAGCGATATAATAGCAGATAGAATGCAAGCATGTAAGAATTCCCAGCAAAACTTTGAAATGAACAAAAAACGAATTGATAAAAATCGACAAGAATATGAATTTAAAGTGGGCGACCAAGTCTATATCCAGAATGGTAATAGACTCAACCGAAGTAAGATGGATAAAATAAGAGTTGGTCCCTTTAAAATTCTCAAGAAAGTTTCTTCATCGATTTTTGAAGTAGACTGTGGAAGAAAAAAAAAACAATCTAATCTTTTTCATATTAACAAATTGTCACTTTATATTCCTCAAAAAGTAACGTGAAGGGGGGAGATGTAAATGTAACCACATTTATGTATTTATTTCATATCTATGATATTCAATATCTTTGTTATATGTTTGATCTTTGTTTGGGTTTCGATAAATGTGCTTCGATAAATGTGCTGCGATAAATGTGCTGCACCACGTGATTGACATATTTTATAATTTATTTGCTTTATGAGTTTCGTATGAATAAGCCTGTAATTGATTACTGTTTTACAGGTATGTTTTCTTTAATTTATATCTCTGTATTATTTTATATTATTTGATTATATGACATTTAATTTGTTTGAATGAACTGTTTTACAGATTAATAAATCAGGTTTTATTTAGAAACAATCTTACATATATATATATATATATATATATATATATATATATATATACATACATAAAAGATATACATAAAAGATAAAAACAAAGGTTGTAGAATTTGCTTCTGATGTAGTCTATTAGAAGCACTGTACAAATTCAATAAAACAATTTAATAAATTTAAATTGTATAATTTTTGCCGCAGTTTATTATTTAATTTACTTTTATTAAAACTGCATGTTGATAGAAAACTTAATGTTGTATATGATGTTATTATTTTTTTTATTAATTCATAATAGTGGTTTGCATTCTGTACATCATTGAAATGATTTTCCATGTTAAATAAATCTTCGTTGACACATTGTAGGTGTATGTTGCTTTCAATTACAAGTTTTTTCTTAAAACAATAATTATTTATTTTTAATAATCTTTCTGATTCTTGGCAGATCTGAAAATCATTAAAATTTATTGCTTTTACCAGAAAATAAATAAATGTATCATTTTTATTTTAATACTCCTTTTGAGGGATATGTCAATTGCCCATTGTCTTTTAGTATGATGAGATGATTTGATGATTCGCTAAATATGTTTCTTCTGGCTGAAATCAAGCATTTTCTGCATATTTGTTGGGATTTGTAACAGCATATTAATGCAAAATTTTAAATAAAGTAATGAAACTCTTTATATTCTGTATTTCTTATGACAAAAAGCCATTTTAACAAAGGCATCCTAATAATAATAATAAACCCATAATACAAAAAAAACATATTTTCCATTAGAATCAAAATTAGCATTTTATAAAACGTAATAAGAAAATGACCAAATCCTTATCGTTTTATTTGTTAAATATCTGATAGTAAGCCGGCAAATGCCAATGTTATTGTGTTGTATATTAATATTTGGTTTGAATTAATCAATATTGCTTCAGCAATCCTTTGTTTATTATATATAAATACTAAATTAATTGCCTCAGTTTGTGTTGTCTTGGTTTTTGCCTTTTCAAATACCACACCAGGAAATACTGTTGGGTAGGCATCTTTCTGACTTTTTTATTTGACTTTGAAAAGGATTTTGAATCAAAATGTTTACTACATATATATGATCTTTTTCTTTCAAAACCTCTACACCTGCCATTCAATGCATTGATCCACTGACTTTTTATAGGTGATTTTTGAGGAATGCTGTAATGCATATTGCATTTTGTCAAAAATGAATTATTGAAATTTATATCTATTAATCCATGGAGAGAGGTCAAGTGAATCATAAAATATGCAAATGATATAAAAATATTATTAAGATCATATTATTACCTGTGCATAGATATATTTTGGTCTTTATATGTCCCATTACAATTTTTTACTATACACTTTAATGGCATTTTTAATTTAATAAAAGATAGAAATTATATTCAAAAACTAACTTAATGCTTATCGTCTGCTCAATTCATTCCAAAGATCAGAAATTTTCAGGTAGCATATCCAAAAAAATGTATACAATTATTTGATTCAATAGCAATATTTATTATAATTGAAAAAATATATTGATTATATTAAAATTTAAAGTAACATCAATATGGTATTCCACATTACTATTTTAATTAATAATAATAAAATAAAAAGATTTATGTGGCTTGTTATCTAGTTCTAATTAATTAACCAATTATTTGTTGTTGATAAAACAAGAAAATTTCGATGCCAGTACAAACGTTGATTTTTTAAAGTACACGAACGAACATACCGACATTGAAATTTTTGAGTTTTTTTTTAACATTAATTTATTAGACAGTTTAAAAAATAAAGTCAAAAATTCAAAATAAAAATACAAAAAAGCCTCTCTTCTACTAGTATGAGTCTAGTTTTTCCTGGCACAATGTAACATTTGTAAAACTTTTAAGAAAGTGACATTTATAAAATCAAAATGGATCAAAATTCAGTTAAATTATTAAGTTAAAAATCGATTAAAACTGCCATAGAATGATTTCAGCAGTAAAAAATGTTTACAAGAATTTGCCGCCGGTAGTACAAGAACAGGAAAGAAGCTAAATATAGATTGGAAAACTGAAAAACCCATTGACAATTTGGTGCTAAAAAAGTTTGCTTCCAAGCTTCCTGACCTTGAGAAGAAGGTCAACACTATAAAGCCATTCTTATATATAATTCAATGGTAAAAATAGTTGCAATAACAATTTAATACTGAATAAAAACTGGGAAAACCACTAATTATAAACAAATGTATTAAAACGTGATATTCTTATTATTGTTAAATCTGGCGAGGATTTATTTGACGGCCCAGTTTGTGTAAAAATATAGAGAATCAAGTAACTATGGCAGATACAAAAGTCAATAGAATGAAAGTTTTTGATTCGAGTGGAAATTTGAAAACAAATGCAAATATGCACAACAATCGAGCGATGTAGTCGTCTCCTGGCTTTAGAGGGAAAACTCTTTCTGTTTAAGGTAAAAATAGCTGCAACAACACATTAATACCGAATAAAAACTGGGAAAACCACAAATTGAACAAATTACGAATAAATGTATTGAAACGTGATATTCTCACTATAGTAAAATCTGACGAGGATTCATTTGACGGCCCAGTTTGTGTAAGAATGCAGAGAATCACGTTATTATGGTAGATAAAAAGTCAATACAATGAAAGTTTTTGATTAGAGTGGAAATTTGGAAACAAAGGCAAATATGCACAACAATCGAGCGCTGTAGTCGTCTCCTGGCTATATGTACCTGAGTCTACAGGCGGGATTGGCTGCTTGTCATCAAAAAACCTCCTCTCAAGAGAATAAGCAAATTTTTTTAACAATTTTAAACATACGTTAAAATATTTTAAGCCTCATATCTAATTATATTAATGTAATTTTTTCAGATTATAGTAATAGGGGCAAATTTATACAAAATAACCTCAGCCTTAGACTAACTATCTCTGACCGAACGGGTGATAGTTATAAGATACTGGTAGCTTTGAAATCTCCTGAAAGAGTGGAAAAATGTTTTGATGTGACCCTGACTTTCAATGGAACGGTTTTTATTTCTACTAGTCATCTTAAATTCATCGTCATGAAATTCCAATGGTTTTGAAAAATTGAATTGTGAGAAACTTCAGGGCATAAAAAACAATACGGAAGAGATAAAGGCGCAAACACGAAAAATGATATTTGGAAAAAGGCTTATTCAGCGCTAAGCGCAAATCTGGAGAATTATCCTAAAAATATTATAATGCAAATAGAAAGCAGCAGAGATGAATATTTACAAAAAAGTGAATACAGCGTGGAGAATATTGGTAGGCATTATAAAGGCTATTTAAATTTGTAACAGAAAATCACTCGAAATTTTTTTTAAGTGAGAACTATATTCATGATTGGTTGAAAGTAGAAATTTATGGATGAATGTTTGTTTATTGATATATATATATATATATATATATATATATATATATATATATATATATTGAGTTGTTAAATTACGAAATTAATTGATTCTTTTAACTTTCTTTTTTTTATTATTTTGTAATTGTTTGAACTTTGTTTTAAACATATATTCATATTCACATATTTGTGTTTAATTGTTTATTAGTTAAATTTGTGTGTGGGCATAGGGACAGCTTGTCTTTGCCCATGTTTTTTTTCATAATAATAATAATAATAATATTTTAATGAAAAGTATCTTCCTGTAAGCTTTAACAGAATGCTACTTGAAAATAATGGGGTTCCAGCTAAAAATGGAAACACAGAAGACCATTTGGGACATGTTTGTGAAGGGTGTTAAACTAAAAAATGAAAAATTATTCAACGATATTTTTGTTTTAATTTGACAGTTTGAACGAAGCGGATGAATACTTTTGGAGGAATGACATGCTAAATAATTTACAAACGACGGTTTTCTATGGAAGAAACGGAAAATAATCTTAAATATTTGACTTGCTGTATCTGCGTATTATTTTGTCACTGTATGAAAGTATGACTGTCATTTCATTTGCAATAAAAATGTTTAAGAGCAAACCATAACAAAACAACAAAATTGAAATGACTAATAATGTTGTAATTATTTAATTATAATAATAACAAGACTTTTTTAACATTCTGTCGTCGTGGGCCTTAAATTTCTGTGTAGATACATTTCTCTGCTCCGGTAAGTAATGCAATGTAATGTAATTAAATTGAACATGATTTGAAAATAACTAAAAAGAAAGAAAATCAAAAAAATAAATAATTTAATCAAATCAGCTATTCTTTGAGAATAAGAAGTTATATTTCTTAAGCATTGTAATTCAATAGAAGTAATTGCTACATATAATTTTTATTTATTTTACCTTTTATCCTTGTTTCTTCGCGCTCATTACTGCCTAAACCAATGAATTGTTAAATAAACAAATGCTAGTGACGTAAGAGGGATGTGCGCTCAATTCTCTTAGTGAAATAATTCTATTTCTAATCGTATCGTATCATATTAGAATACTTATAGGGTACAGACCTTCGAACGCACCCGCGCACATTTTTAGTGCTCTTTAAGTCTGGTCTCATAATTTAGTTTCTAAGAACAATTATTCATCTCATCAAATTTAACAATTTTCACATTTTTATAATTCATTGATAAGTGTTTATTCCTTTTTTAAAGATTTCATTCATTTAAATTTGTTAATTGAATTATTTCATGCATCCGCATAATATTTTATTTATTTTTAAAGAATTCATTTGTTTCAATTAATTATTAACTGATTTATTTCATGCATTTATATGTATAGGCATATTTAGTATCTTTCATCTGGTGAACATAAAGCCGCGGTCACTCGATATCTCTTGCTTGACAGGCATCTCCTGAATAGAATATACGGTAATTTTATCATATTTTTGTTTTTTTTCTGGTCATTTTACAACATTGCATGCATGGGTTGTTGGTTTTGAGGTTATTCGCAAATGACCAATCTTTATTTTATAGTTTCTGATGGATAGAATTACTGGACATTTATAAGTTCTACTTGGAAGAGTGAAAAAACAAAAAAAAATTTGGTTTAACCTGCAATGAAATACTGTTAAAGAAACTGAATCTGAAAATGTTTTCAAAATATCAAATTTAAAATAAAAACTGGAATAGGCTGGTGTTTCAAAAAGTACTACCAAATTTTCAGTGTATACTGTTCTATAAATAAATGAAAGGTCCTGAAGCCAAATCTTTCGATGAATTCGATAAAAGTAGAACTTTTTCCGATAATCCCCCATCAAACACCGCAGTTTTCTAACTACTTAATTTCTAAGAAAGAATTTAAAAAAAACTATTCAAGTTATCTCATTCGGTAGAAGTGCCGTGTCTCGCGCTGCTATTACGTGATATCATGGTTCGAATGCTGTCTGTCCAAAACTCAAAAACTATCAAACGTGTAAGGTGCGGTGGGTGATTGCGCGTGCATGCAAACGATGTGGCGGGGATAGTACAACCTGTGTGGTACAAAGGTTCAACTACAACTAGAGGAACATGTGTGGATCTCTGCGTTTGACAGAGCTGTATTATAAAAAATGAATAAAAAAATTCGGTGTTGGTTGATGACAGTTTAATGAATTCATCAAATAATTTTAAAAGAAGCACGTGAACACATTAGTACGTATTACAAATTAAAATTGTTACCACTATGAAAATTAATAAACTGCAATAAAACAATCTTAACAGGAGATCAGTGATCATAGAAATATTATTTGATTATCTGTTAATTGACTATCATGGAGTTGAATGATTTTAAAATTATCTATAACATAAGAAAAACGAATTGACATTAGAAAAAAATTTGTACCGTACCGTACGTGTACCGAGACTCCAGGCACATGTACGCACTGACAGAACATTGAGTGGTTCTAAAACACTAACTGATCAATGACGCACGAGAATTAATTTCAACGTATAATGAGTAACATGGCATTGTTACATGATTGAAACTGATGGATTTAAAAACTCGACAAGTACATTTTAATTTGTCATCAACATAGTTTGAGTGATATGATAAAACCTTTACGGGTTTAAAATTAATTATCAAATACTAAACATTTAAATTCAATATCAGTCAATCAGTTGATCAATACTGATAAATAATAAATATAAAGAGCTTATAAATACAAATTGAATGAATACGTGCATTAAGATTGCAAAACATTTAATACTTTGGTTGGTTGTTTGGTTGGTTGGTTAGTCGGTCGGTTGGTTGATCGGTCGGTTGATTAACTGGTAGTAGGATAGAAATTAAATATGCAAAATATTGAAGTATATCATTTGAGGATGAGTTTCCACGATTGTTACCAATATCTATTATAATTATAAAAATATAAATGAATATTATATATTACATGTACGAGTATATATATGTATATGTATATATATATATATATATATATATATATATATATATAATTTTCAAAATTTGCTCAATAAATTTAACGCATCGTGTCGTTAACATATAAGAACACTAACAGTTTACTCACAATGAATCGTTAAAATGCTAGCAACGTATCATGATGAAAGGTTCATATATGTTAATGTATATAAATAAAAATATATATTAAAATGTTACAAAAACTAAACTTGAAATAATCTATTATATCGTTAGATGAATGAAAACTAACAGATCAAAACTGAAATAATTAAAAGATAAAAAGCTCTTCATCGTCTGAAACCTGCGAAAACGTTTTGCAACACTTCAAACAACGACAGACAAGCGCACGACGACGAGGATTTCCTTCAACAAACATCTACGTCAAAGACACATCAACACTACCTAACAACACTACGTAACAAATTTTAAACTTTCAATAAAGAGACATATCTAGACAAGTGCATTAAAGAGAATGCAAACATCTCAGACCTCTACCAGTTACTCCACACGAAAACATTGCAAGGCAGCAACAACAATACACATCATATGCAATGCGTGGAGCGTGGTTTCTCTGTTTCGCTGTGTGTATCTCTGGAGGGTGTACACATGAGAAATTGACATTTAACCTTTAATAAGCTTTACGCAAGTCTCAAACGATCAGTCAACACAAGACAGCACATGGCAGACATCAATCAGCAGCAATACGCATATGTTTCACACGCCAGTTTCAACATTTAACAACAAACACCCATCAACATCTCAAACAACGAACATCTCAAACAACGAACAACTCAAACAACG